CCCGGGGCTGGGCTCCCCCCTCCCCCCCCCCCCCCCTCTCCTCTCTCCCTCGCTCTTTCCCCCCTTTCCTTTCCTTTCCCGGTCTCCTCCTCCTCCTTCTCCTCCCCTCCTTCCCGGCTCCCTCCTTCCCTGCCGACTCCTCTCCACCCTTCCTTCCCTCCCCACTCTTGGCAGGGCGCCCCGACTCTCCATACTGCCAAAACCCCCCTAAACCCCTTTTTCCCCAACCCCAAATCCCCTCAAATCCATTTTTTTTGTTTTATTTTTTCCCTTATTTCCCTATTTTCCCCCTGATTTTCCCTCTGCACTCCAACCCTGATTTCCTCCTTCCCCACCCCAAGGCAGCTGGACCAAGGGGCACCGATGCCACCAGACCCCATCCCACCCCACATCCCACCGGGGTGAGGGCCGTCACCCAGCGCCAGCTACTCACTGTCTTCTTCTCCTTGCCCGCGGGTGAGTAGTACAGTTGCTGCTATCAACAGCAGTAACCGAGAATCCACAAAGCTGAACATGTCTAAATATTAGACATGTAGACTCTTTGGGGTCTCTTTTGTTCTTAGGTTGGGGTCATACGGGGCCGATCCAACCCTGGAGCTCCAAGTCCAGACCCCAGCAGAAACTTCCTACTGCCCTTTGCCCACTTCTTCGCCTCCCCTTATATACGGTGCGGCAGCAGCAAGAGGTGGGACCCATCGCAACCGGGGAATTTTGGACGGCCCCTCAGCCAATCAGAGACACCCAGCGAGTCGGGGGGCACCTCTTGCACCCCCTTCCCCGCCTGTCTGTCCATGCACACGCACACAGATGTGCACACGTGTGTCATCCCCAAGCAAGGCTGCAGTGGCGGCCGGGGGGTAGATGGGAAGAGAATGGTGGGATGGGGATTTCAGGGGGTTTGGGGTGGGTTTTTTTGGGGGTTGTGATTTTTTGGGGGGAGTTTGGCACACTCTGAGATGTTCTGGAGGGGATAGATGTGGCAGGGCAGGGTGGGGACAAGGCAATGTGGCATGTGGCACTTTGGGGACCCCAGTGCCACGCGATGCTTGGTGCTGCACCAAGGAAGGGGGGTACTAGGCCCTGAAAACCCACCACCCACCACCCAACCCTGCACTTGGGGCTCCCTGAAACCCACCCACCCAAACCCCCAGCACAGTGCAAGGCCAAGACCACCAACCCCCAGCCCCCAGAGCATCCCATGGATGGGTATCCCCCCAACCCATGGACACCCCAAAACCCCTCCAAGAACCACAAACACTCCAAAAAACACCGGCTTGATTTTTTTTGATTTAGCCCTTTCTTTTCATCTTTTTCCTTCCTTTCCCTCGATCCTCTTGCTCCTGGCCCATCCCTCTCCCCTCTCTCCCCTCCTGGCATGCCTCCACTGCCGTTTCCACTTTTGAAGGAGCCACGTTGGTTGGAAAAAGCAAAAGCTCCTGGACAATAATCCACAACTTACCGTGCAATTTGGGGAGGGTGTAATTACACGCCAAAAAAATCTACGTATTTACCCGGGCTGGGAGCTCAGGAATGGAGGCGGGGGAGGAACCCTGCACTGGCAATGTGGCACATTGGGCAGGGGGGAACTTCTGCTTTTCAGGGGGGATTTTTAGGGAATAGGGTGGGAAATGGGGCTGGGAAGAAGGGAAGGGACAGGTTCAGCCCTTGTGCTTGTGCCCACCATGCTATGCTTAGGGTTTGTGGGATCACAGAATACAGGGAATACTGGAAGTACTGGGATCGGTCTGTTTGTTCCCTCTGTCACTATGTTGAGAGCTTGCAGGATCAGTGGATACTGGGAATATTGGGAGCACTGGGATCAGTCCTTTTGCCCCCCTGTCACTGTGCTGAGGGCTTGCAGGATCTGTGGATACTGGGAATACTGGGGCCACTGGTAGAACTGGGCTCAGTCTTCACACCTCCACTTGTCCCCCTCCACTAGCATGCTGAGGGCTTGCAGTTCCATTGGGAATGCAAGGATCAGTGGATACTGGGAATACTGGGAGCACTGGGAGAATGGAGCTTAGTTAGCTTGTGTCCCCCCTTCACTAGGCTTGCAGGCTCATCAGGATACTGGGAATACTGGGAATACTGGGAATACTGGGAATACTGGGAGCACTGGGAGCACTGGGCTCACTCTTGTTGTCCCTCCCACCACTATGCTGAGAGTTTGCAGGCTAATTGGAATACTAGGAATTCCGGGAGCAGCCCTCACACCTCTGCTTGCCCTTCCAGTACTGTACTGAGGGTCTGCAGGCTCAGCGAGGTAATGGTAATACTGGGAGCACTAGGTTCACTGTGTTTGGTTCCCCTGTCAATATGCTGAGGATTTTTGCAGACTCAGCAGAATATCGGGAATTCTGGGAGCACTGGGAGAGCTGAATTCTGCTCTTGCACCTCTGCTTGAGCCCCTCACCGCTGTGCTGAGGGTTTGTAGGCTCAGCGGGACACTGGGAATACTGGGACACTGGGTTCACTTCGCTTGTCCCCACAACCGCTATGCCAACAGCTTGCAGGCTCAGCAAAATACTGGAAGAACTGGGAATAATGGGAGAATTGGGAGCACTTTGCTTGTCCTCACTGCCACTATGCCGAGGGCTTGCAGGCTCATCGAGTTAGGAATACGGGGAATACTTGGAATACCAGCAGCACTGGGCTCATGCTGCTTATCTCAACTGCCACTATGCTGAGGGCTTGCAGGCTTAGTGGATTACTGGGAGCACTGGGAAAACTGGGAATTCTGGGGTCACTCCACTTGTCTACCCCACCACAATGCTGAGGGCTTGCAGGCTCAGAGGATTACTGCGAACACTAGCAATACTGGGAATACTGGGAGTCCTGGTGTTACTCTGATTGTCTGACCCCCCCAAGGGCTTGTAGGCTCAGAGGATTACTGGGAGCACTGGGAGTACTGGGCTCCCTCCACTTATTCCCCCTACCACTGTGCTGAAGGCTTGCAGTCTCAGCAGAATACTTGGGAGCACCGGGAACACTGGGAATACTGGGAGTACTTGGGTCACTCTGCTTGTGTGTCCCACCACTATGCCAGGGGCTTTCAGGCTCAACAGAATACTGGGAGCACTGGAAATATTGGGAGCACTGAGCTCATTGCAGAGCAAAACCACGTCGGAGCAGGAGCTCCCACTAAGACATTTCCTTATTTTTCTTCAGGAAAAACACAAATCAAAACAATTTAACAATTAAATAACGGGGGGGGGGGAGGGGAAGGGGAGGGAATGACACGTCGCCCCCTCCTCGTGCAACCAACTTCTCCCAGGGACTTTTTATTTTCCCTGCAATGAAATTCAATAAAATGCAACAAAATCGAAGCCACCCGAGGAGGAAGGGGATCACACACATGCCCATGCACACGCGTTTCCATAGGGTCGGCAGCAGCTGGCCCCTGTTCCAGCCCTGTATCCATGAATCCGAGACACGTTGCAGGCAAAGCCTCCTCCAATCGTGCCTCGGCGACTCGAAAAGCCCTGGCCAGGCTCCAGCCTGAAGATGTGTCTTTAATTTTTGCAGCATGACAGAAAAGAAAAGAATGTCATGGGAGGTTTTTTTTATTTTTTTAAAACTATTTATTTATATGTATATATACATATATATATTTATATATATATGGAGAGGGAGGGGAAATAAAAAAGCAAGGGAGGAAAAGGATGGGGTGATGCCACCTCATCAGCCCCCTGGCCACCCACCCCAGGAATGCAGGAGGGCTTGGAGAAAGGGTTGGGGGCTGGGAAAAGGGAAGAATTCCCACTTCAAATAAATAAATAAAAAAAAAATAAAGAATAATTGAAAAAAAAAAAAAAAAGGCTGGAAAAGTCATTAGGGTCCTCGGAAGCGGGATGGGAGATGCTAAGCGCAGGCCTGGGCTCCTGTGGAATGCTGAGGGGGGTGGCACCCACCTGGGAACCTCCTGCTCTTTGGGGGTGTTTGGGGTGGGGTGGGTGTCACACGCGGCTCCCCCTCAGCTTTGGGGGGAATCCCAGAGCCTTTCCTGCAATCCTCAGACTGGTTTTACTGGTGCAAAGTGGGTGTGTAGCTGGCAGTGTAGGAACGGAGGTGGGCACACCAAAAAAGATGGGGATCACCCCAAAAACTTAGGGGTCACCCCAAAAATTCACCAGGTGTGCCAAAAAGTGGCAGATGCTCCAAAAATACAGCAGATGCTCCAAAAATCCGGTGGACGCCTTAAACATTTGGTGGACACCCAAAAATTTGCTGGGTGCCCCCAAAAGGTTATGGGTGCCCCAAAAAGCTGGTGGATGCCCCAGAAATTGTGCGACCAACTCCAGGACAGGGTTTGCTCGTGGGTGGGAGGGGGAGGGAAGGGTGGAAGGGGGCTGCCCCCCCGTCCCTTTTAGGTAGGACCTACTAAAAAGCAGGGTGCGGGGGGGGGGGGGGGGGGGGGGGGGGGGGGGGGGGGGGGGGGGGGGGGGGGGGGGGGGGGGGGGGGGGG